TTCCACGTGGGTCTCCTGCTTCATGACAGCAGGGACTGGGGTCTGCCTTATTCACCCAGCTGAGCACCTGGCACAATGGAGCTCTGTAAATCTTCATTGAGTGAGTGAGTGACTGACTGAATGAATGCTGCCCCTTGTGCTGAGCCTACAGGGCTACTTTTCCCTGCTTGTAGAGGAGCAAGGCAGAGGCGACAGCGGTGACCACACCAGGGCAGCCTGTAGTGCCAGCGCCTGCTTCTGCCCAGGACGTGTCTGAGAGCTGTGTCCTTCCCCCTCCTGAGGCCAGCCCCTCCCAGGCCACGTCTTCAGCACTTTAACTCCTTGGGAAGTCTATGTTTTCTTCTACGTCTCCTTATTTCTACCTCAAGCCCAAGTTGCCAGGGCCTCACCAAACTCTCCTGTCCACAGAGAAAAGATGTCCATCTCACAGCGTCATCAGTGAAACACCCTAGGAGAGCTGCCCAGTGGGCTGGGCTGTAGGTCTCACCTGGTCTCTCTTAGTCGTCTTCCTCCACTCTGACTTTTCCCATTAGCTTCTCCTCCTCCCCACAGACTAACCCATTGTCCTGAACGCCTCTATTTCTCTCCCACACTATTCTCCTCTCTACCTCCTAAGTCTTCCTTCTGCCTTTTTCAGCTACCCATTTATTTCCTTAAGCATTTTAAATATAGTTATTTGAAAGGCTTCCATATTGTTCTATTAGCTCAAGTTTGGGGGACAGAAAGCCTCCCATTTGTGTTGTATGCTGTTGCTCACAGTAGCTCAGTTCCTCATGTGTTTTATAATTTCTGATTGTGAGCTAAGGCTGGGGATATTTTTTTTTCTCTCCCATGAATGGCCCAAGTGGCGTGGGCTGTGAAAACTCCCTTCAGACATGATATTTTTCTTTGGCTCTGCAGAAACTAACCCCTTACCACTACTCAATCCACCCCACTCTGGACCAATTTAAGAATTCCCATTTTTGTTTTTTTTAATTACTGTGATAAAATATATACATATGATAAAATTTACTATCTTAACCATTTTTTTAAAAGATTTTATTGGAGAATTAGGGGAGGGAAACAGCGCTGGGGAATCGGGGAAGGGGAACAGACAAGTTGCTGTCCTTTTGTTCTTCAGTCTAGTTGTGGTGGAGGTCGCTTCACTGGCCCATGTTGGTACTGTCATTGCGCTCTTCCTGGGTGAGGCAGTCGCTCTCCGGCCATTGGACGGCTGCTCACGGCGGCTCATGGCTCACAAAAGCTCACGCCTGCTGCCGGCCAGCCCCATTGCAGCTTACACCATCACCGGTGACTCACGGCAGCCCAGCTCCAGGTGGAGCTGTTGTTCACCATCGTAGCTGTAGAGGGCGCAGCGTCACCGGCCCTCATGTGGGATCTGAACTGGGGGCCCTGCTGCTCAGAGCTGGCATCCCAAGCCAACTCCTAACCAATGTGCCACTCGGCTGGCCCTATCTTAACCATTTTTAAGTGTACAGTTCATTGCCACTAAGTACATTCACATGTGCAGCCATCACCACCTTTCATTTCTAGAACTTTTGTATCTTTCCAAACTGAAACTCTGTACCCATTAAAAAAATTACTCATTTTCCTCTCCTCCAGCCCCAGGCAACTACCATTCTATTTTCTGTCTCTATACACTTGACTATTCTAGGTACCTCCTGTAAATGGAATCATGCAATATTTGTTCTTTTGTGTCTGCCTTATTTCACTTAGCATAATGTCTTCAAGGTTCATCCATGCTGTAGCATGTATTAAACCTTCATTCCTTTCAAAGGCTGAATAATATTCCATTGTATGTATATACCACATTCCCTTTTTTTTTTAGTTTCAGATGTACAAAACAATGTAATAGTTATACATTTACAGCCCTCCCTTCAGAAAGTGATACCCCCCCCAATCTACTTGTATATACCACATTTTCTTTATCCATTCATTTATTGGTGGATAGTGTGGGTTGTTTCCTCCTTTTGGCTATTGTGAATTATGCTGCTATGGACATTGGTGTACAAATATTACAAATATCTGTTCAAATCTCTGCTTTAAATTATTTAGGGTATATACCCAGAAGTAGAATTGCTGTATCATAAGGTAATTCTGTTTAATTTTTTGAGGAACCACCATACTATGTTCCACAGCTGCTGCACCATTTTACATTCCCAGAAGCAATGCACAAGGGTTCCAGTTTCACTACATCCTTGCCAACACTTGGTATTTTCTGAGCTTTTTGTTTGTTTTTTATAATAGTCATCCTAATGTGTATGACATGATACCTCCCTGTGATTTTGATTTGCATTTCCCTAATAACTAGTGAGTGATGTTGAACATCTTTTCATGTTTTTTTAGCCATTTGTATACCCTCTTTGGAGAAATGTCTATTCAAGTCCTCTGCCCACTTTTAAATTAGATTGCTTAGGTTTTTTTGTTGTGGAGTTGTAGGAGCTCTTTATATATTCTAGAGAATAATCCCATATCAGATATATGATTTGAAAATATGTTCCCCAGGGCCGGCCAAGTGGCTCAGTTGGTTAAGAGCTCGCTCAAGAGTTTGAGCTCTGAGCAACAGCGGTTCGAGTCCAGCCCGAACTGAGCTGCGCTGCCAATAGGTAGCAGGATGGCTCAGCTAAAAAAAAAAAAAAAAAAAAAGTATGTTCCCCAATTCCATGGGTTGTCTTTTCACTCAGTTGGTTGCATCCTATGAGACACAAAAATGTTTAATTTTAATTAAGTCCAATTTATCTATATTTTCTTTTGTTGCCTCTGTGTTTGGTGTCATAGCCAAAAAGTCTTTGCCAAATCCAATGTTATAAAGTTCCCCCCTGCATTTTCTTTTAAGAGGTTTTTTTTAATAGTTTCAGCTTTTATGTGTAGGTCTTTGATCCATTTTGAGTTAACTTTTGTAGATGGTGTAGAATTCTTTTGTATGTGGATATCTAGTTTTCCCAACACAATTTGTTGAAAAGACTGTCCTTTCCCCATCAAATAGTCTTATCAACCTTGTCAAAAATCATTGATTATATATATAAGAGGTTATTTCTGAGCTCTGTATTCTATTCTACTCATGTAATATGTCTGTCTTTATGCCAGTATCATGCTGTTTTGACTACCAATGCTTTGTAGTAAGTTTTGAAACCAGGAAGTGTGAGGCCTCCAGCTTTGCTTTTCTTTTTCAAGATTGTTTTGGCTATTTGGGGTTTCTAGAGCTTCCACATGATTTTTGGGGATAGACTTTTTATTTCTACAAAAATTCATCATTGGGATTTTTTTTTTAAAAGATTTTATTGGGGAATTGGGGAAGGGGAGCAGCGTTGGGGGATCGGGGAAGGGGAACAGACAAGTTGCTGTCCTTTTGTTCTTCAGTCTAGTTGTGAAGGAAGTACCTTCACTGGCCCATGTTGGTATTATCATTGCATTCTTCCCAGGTGAGGCAGTCACTCATGGCCATTGGACAGTTGCTCACAGTGGCTCACGCAAGCTGCCAGCCACTCACACTGGCTGCCAGCCACTCATGGTAGCTCATGGCAGCCCACTGTAGCAGGGGCTGCAGCCTATACCATCTTCAGCGACTCACGGCAGCCCAGCCCCAGGTCGAGCTGTTGTTCACCATCTTAGCTGTAGAGGGCGCAGCATCACTGGCCCTCATGTGGGATCCGAACCGGGGCCCTGATGCTCAGAGCTGGCGTCCAAACCAACACTTAACCAACGAGCCACTCGGCCGGCCCCATCATTGGGATTTTGATAAGAGATTGCATTGAATCTATAGGTTGCTTTGGGTAGTATTAAGACTTCTAATCCATAAATATGGGATGTCTTTCCACTTATTTGTGTCTATTTTACTTTTTTTCAGCAACGTTTTGTAGTTTTAAATGTACAAGTCTTTTTCTCCTTGGTTAAGTTTGTTCCTAAGTATTTTATTCTTTTTATTGTTATTGTAAATGGAATTATTTTCTTAACTTTATTTTTGGATGATTCATTGTTGGTGTATAGAAACACAACTCATTTTTGTGTGTGTGTGTTGATTGTGTATCATGCAACTTTGCTGAATTTTTAAATTAGTTCTAATAATTTTGTTTGTTTGTTTTTTAATCCAAGTTGGTTTTACTTTTGCTTTTACCCAGAGACCTGAGCAGTGACAGATTTTTTTTGCCATCTTCCAAAGCCAGTGAGGCCCCATTTACTAAGAGTGCAGGCTTCAAGGATCCCAGCTGAATGCAACAGTACCGGTTCTAGCTTCCCGCCTCATGAAGGCCAAGACCTTGTCCCTGCCCCTGCATGGTCATTACAACGCATGGGCCTATTTCCCTTCCAGTACCCTCCCGTTAGAACTCCTGCTGCATCAGCTCACTCACCCTTCTGCTTTTCTGCTCTCTCTTGATTTCAAAAATAGACACATTCTATTTTCTACATATTCAGAGAAGGAGTGATCCCAGCATCCCACTTCCAAATGAGCATCTCAAACTGTGCATTCACAGAGGGCACAAGGAAGCCAAAATTTTATCCATAATGAAAAACCCTATTCCAGGATACAGCTAGAGTGGGAAACACAGTCCCTCTTCTGATGAGATAGGGTCCTGCCTCCTCATGGGGCTGGAGCTGTCCAAGGCCAAGTTATGTGGGTAGTGGTTATTACTGTTACTGAGGGCCTACTATGTGCCAGATACTGTACTGGGTGCTTTACATACATTCGATCTCATTCAATCCTCCTTCCAGCTCTATGAGGTAGGTATTATTATTGTCACTGATTCAGTTGAGAAAATCACCAAAACACAGCTAGCAAAGGAGCAGAACCAAGATTCAGGCTTAGGTTGACTCAGCCTTTACCAGATACATCTTGTCTTCCTCATTCTTCGACAAGCCACCTGTACCTTCCTCTTTTTGTCCAGTCCTCTGAGAATGTGGTCCATGTGGTTTCCTTCCTCTTATGTCCTTAGCACCCAGTGGGTGTGACCTCTGCAGAAGTCACTACGCTTTTGTCCATGGAGGACCTGGGACAAAACTTTGGGAGGGACTGCGGCACTCACCCAGCTGTTGGCCTGAGCCCCCGTTACCGAGAGAAATGAGGTTTTTGCCAAGGACTCCGAGGGGAAATAAATGCTGGGAGTGGACTCAACTCTGGTCGGGACTCAAGCACCCAGCCCTCCCTAAGACATTGTGTGAGCCGGGGCCGGGCCTCCAGACAGCCCCTCCCGCCGCCCCAGCCAGGGTGGTGCTTGTGTGGGAAGGACTTTAAATCCAGCTGCCAGACCCCTGGAAAGGAGAGGCAGAGAGGGCTGGCCACCATGCACGGCTCCCGCAGCCTCCTGGTACTTTTGCTGCCACCACTGCTGATGCTGGTGGCCACCACAGGACCCGCTGGAGCCCTCAGTGATGATGAGAAACGAGAGATGGTGGAGCTGCACAACTTCTACCGTACCCACGTGTCCCCACCAGCCACTGGCATGCTGCAAATGGTAAGTGTGGTCAGGGGCACTCACCTGTCGGGACTGAAGGGGTGCTGGGCAAGGGCCCCCACCAACCCCTCTCATAGACTCACCTCTCAAGTCAGTGACAGATTCCCTGACATTATATAATTCACAGGTCCCCATAAGCAGCCCCATTATACAGATGAGGAAACGGAGGCCCAGCGGGACAGGCTGGTCCCTCCGGGGCTTGCAGGTCACACAGCTGGTACAGCCAGGCCTGAATGCCCCAGTTTCCCACTCCAATAACCCCTTCCAAGCACTTCCTAAAATGCATGTGCCCCTGGGAGGGGAAACCCAGGAAGCTCCTAACATCTTGTTGACAACCGTCTTTCAGGTGCTTTCCAAGGACATGAGAAGAGGAAACAGGGCAGCGGGATGAGTCAGGGCACCTGGAGTAGGAGGGAGGTACTGAGGAAGTTGGGGTGAGCACAGGAAGCAGAAGCAGAAAGAAGCAGAAGCAGTTCAAATTCTGTCTTAGCCACCTATAAGACCCATGATTTCGGGTGAGTCCCTTACTTAACCTAGTAAGGACCCTTGTTTCCTCATCTGTAAAATGGAGTCATAATTGGAGCTACATATACATTAACATGGACTGAATCTCACAGATATAATATTGAGTCGGGGGGGGGGATGAAATACACACACACACACACACACACACGGTAGGATATATTTAAATGAAGTTTTAAAATGTGAAAAATACTTTTGTATACAGGTGGGAACACATGCTGATATGGTAAACATACATGGAATTGCCTACAGATGACAGAAACCAGATTCGGGATAGTGGTTACTTCTGTCAGGGAGGGAGAGTTATCTGATAGACAGGGTTAGGGGCAGGGTGTTTATGATCAGGATTAAAAGAGATAAACTGAGAAATTCATCCCCTTCCTGTCATCCCTGAGGGCCAGACTAGCCCATCCCCTCCAGCCACCCTCAAGTGCCCTAGGGGGTTGATGGTCAGTCCCAGGGAGCCATAGCTGGTGCCCAAAAGCAAGGTCACTCCTGGGGAACATAGCGGTGAGCTTGAGGGTCCCAGACTGCAGTTCTACCAGCTCTGTCCATCTGATGAAGTGACTAGTGGGCCCCTTTACCATCTCAAAGGCCTCCGTTTCCTGATCCATCATGCGGGGATGGCCTCCCTGCCGTGATGATCAGGCAGGATGACCCACGTGAAAGGTCATGGAAGGGCTCTACAGACACACACAGCACCATCATTCAAGCCCTGTTGCCTGGACAACCATGGACCGCAGACAACAAATCAGGAGCCCTGGATGCTGGAACCAGCTCAGCCAGTAGCTCCCTAATGGAGGCCTGGAACGCCTTGTTGGGCCTCAGTTTCCCCATCTGTAGATCCTCGATGCCCTACAGTCTTGCTGGCTGAGCCTGAGGGGCTACACAGGCTGGGAGCTGCTTTGCTGACAGAGGTGGATCTCAGGGGTGGGGCAACATTCTGGGAAGCAGGTCAGATAGTGAGGGGATACGCTGCTGCCTGGTGGGAACAAGGCTCAGGTGCCACCTCCGCAGTGGCACATGCAGAGACTCTGGAGCCAGACGGCCTGGGTTCAAACCTTCACTTGCCATTTATGAGCTGTGTGACCTCAGCCAAGTTACTTAACCTCTCTGCCTCAGCTTCCTCATCTGTAAATTGGGGATGATAGCAATATAACAACTCCCTTGTAGGATGCTTGTAAGGATTAAATGAGTGAATATGTGCAAAGCACTTAGAACAGCATCTGGCAATTAGTAAGTGCTCAGTAAGTGTCTGATTAACAAAAAAGGGAATGGATCCAGGGTGAGGCAGGTGGGAGTTATCATGGACTCTTCTTTCTCCCTCAGCCTCCACGTTTAATCACTTTTACCTCCCAGGAGGTTCAATTTTCCTTGAACTCTATCCCACCCCCCACCCCCCCAATCCATTCGGCACAAGCCAGGTTTAGTCTTTCATTTCTTCTTCCAAGGTTTCCTAGAGCAGCCACTACCTGCTTCCCCAGCCTCTGGCCTCTGCTACCATAACGTATGATCCAACACACAGGCCTGACCCTGACTAAAACCCTGCAGCGGCTCCCAGTGGCTCCCCAGTGCCTCGGGATAAAGCTCCAGCTCCTGGGAAGGCTCTCTCCGTGTCTCTGGCCCCTTCTCACTTCTCCAGCCTTCCACTTTCTCCTTCAGTAACCTGCACAGCTTGTCTTTCTCCAACCAAAACACTGCTTCTCACCTCCCTGCCTTTGCTCAGTACTGCCTTCTGTCAGGATACCTTTCCCCTCTCCACCTGACCAATGCCTCATCTTTTAACACTTAGCTTACTGTCCCCTTCTCCACCCTCAGGCTGAGCTAAATGGCCCTCTTTGGTGCCATTGCATATCTGTCATTTACCACATGGTGGCCCAGTTAATGGTTTATGACAATGTAAACGTGGGCTTCTTGGTCCTTGCTGTGTCCCCAGGGCTGGCACGGTGCCGAGGACTGTTCAATATGAGTGAGTGAGTGAGTGAGCGAGTGAGTGAATAGATTTGCTTTCAGATGGTGACCATGTGGCCAATGTGGGTGGGTGCCATGACTCTTGAAACTCCCCAGGGGTCTCTGGACCACTGAGAAGTCTTAAGAGCCCAAGGAATGACTCTAATAGTGGGACTCCAGGCATCTGGTCAGGATGGAATTGGCAGCCCAGCTTTGTAGAGGAGGCCGTTTTAAGCAGGGCCCTGTCTTGCTCATCAACAGCTGACAAGCGTCTGTTGAGTACCTGCTAGGTGCCAGCGCTGTACCATGCAATGGGGATACATCCCTGCCCTACCCTGGAGGAGCTTGCAGTCTAGTCTGGAGTCCCGCAGGTCATCCCAGCATCCTGATCTGGGTCCCCAGCACCCTGCCCCTTTCCCACTGGCTGTCTCCCACTACTGCCAGAGTTTGAGAGAACCTCAGGGACCAGTGATTCGGGACACACACACACAAAAACCAGAGAGGGAAAGGGATTCACTCAGTCACAGCAGTGGGGCTATCCCAGCGCTGTGTTCCCATTCCCACTCCAGGCAGCCGCTCCTGAGAACCTTGTGTGTGGGGGCAGTGGGTGTGGTCATACAGCCTCCTCTTCTCAGGATCACCCAAGCTTTTGGAGCTTTATGGGCTGTCTGGCTTCCCACAGCTGGATGGGCCCCAGAGGGTGGAGCAAGAGTTGCTGCCAGGCGATCCTTTTCCAGGAGAGTCCAGGACAAAGTTTAATGGGATCCAGGCCTCCCTCCTCAATCCTTTGGTCAGATGCCTTTTAATCCCTCTTCCCACCCACATGGGGCCTGTCCTCCCAGCCAGGGACAGAGAACCTCAGAGGCCCCCTAACCTAAAATGCCCCCTCCTGCTGTCTCACCTGAGGTCCCACTGGAGAACACTGCCTTTGGAATCCAACAGCTCTTTGCGCCACCAAAGCTCTGAAAAGAGGCCTCTCGGTGAGGGTCACACGGAGACACTTAATTTTCTTGGGGAAAGGGGTTGTCAGTTGACAGGAATTGAGAGGATGTACTTGGGAATAGCACTCAGGAGGGAAGGCTGAACCCGGTAAAGCCATGGAGGCTGGGCTATCCCAAGGGGAGAGTGGAAGCTGAGAGGGGGGTGCTGACCCCCAAGTCAGATTTATGGTGAGAGGAATGGCTAAATGAACAACCCCGCCTCTGAACATTTTACTGGACAGCCTGTGATCTTCAGAGCAGCTCAGGCAGCCCTGGGGGCTAGGGAGCACCGCTGCCCACCTTTCTCATGGAAGGATGTTAATATTAACATGTACTCTTCCCAACGTCCTTCGAAACCTCAGAAAGGTTAGGCAATCTGTCCCAAATCACACAGATGGTGAATGGTCCTGAGCTTGGCTAACCCCACGGCCTAGGGCAGCCCCCTCCCATCTCCCCACAGAAATCCACCAGGAGCAGAGACCCGTTCCAGATTATGACCAAAAGTCACTCCGCCAAGGAGGAAAGGGTCTCCTGCCTCCAGAGATCCCCGGGAAACCCTCAACCTTCTTCTTGGCTCAGAATTGTGGGCATCCTCACCTCCTTGTCCACCCCCCCCCAACCCCCGCCTTCATTGAGCCCAATGTGTCCTCACCTCCGTCTGCGACCTGTCCCGCAGAGGTGGGACGAGGAGCTGGCTGCCTTTGCCAAAGCCTACGCGCAGGAGTGTGTTTGGGGTCACAACAAGAAGCGCGGGCGGCGTGGAGAGAACCTGTTCGCCATCACGGATGAGGGCATGAACGTGCCGCTGGCCGTGGAGGAGTGGCACCATGAAAGCGAGTACTACAACTTCAGCACCTCCACCTGCGACCCGGGCCAGATGTGCGGCCACTACACGCAGGTGTGAGGCCCGGCGGGCGGGGCCGCAAGAGCAGTGGGCGGGGCGGGGCGGGGCGGGGCGGAGCCCCCTGTCTTTTCAGCGCCCGGGAGTCCCCTAGTCCGCGCTCTAAGACCCCTCAGATCCTAATAAAAGTTGTCTTTCCACAACAATTAACGGTTGTCCGGGCCTCTGACGAAGTCTGCTTCTCGAACTGACTAAAAACCGTTTTCAGTTTACTCTTTAAGAAATACAATCTGAAAACCTAGGCCGTCCCTCTCTGCCTGCTGGCACTGAAGAGGCTGTTAGGTGTCTCAGAGCGCGTTTCCTGGACGGTCGTTACTGTACTAGACGATCCTGACCGAGTTTTAAGCAGTCCTGTCCTCTCGTGTAAGTTATGCAGGGTTTTTGCTCCAACAGTGAGCGTCCCCCCCGCCCACCTCCCCAACCCCCAACCCCCACACTTTTGTCAACTCTCTCACTGTCCCTCTTTTGTCATTTCTCATGTCTAAGTTGCTGCTTGTAATCTGCTAGGGACCCATAAAATAAGACAATATATAAAACGAAATAAGACAATTTCGTTTGTTTAATTTTTCTTTTGCTTTTAAAAACTACCTGTAAATAAGAGCAAATTGTCACCGAGGGAAGGTCTCAGGGATCCTTCTGAGAGCCTGTCCTGCCTCTCTCTCAGTCACTTTTTGCTTATGTCGGGATTCTCACTGCATTTTGAAAATTTGAGTTTTCAGATAAGAGGTGTAAGGGTGTGTATGTGTGTGGAGGGGGGATTAACATTAGTGTTACTGAATTATTTGTTTCCTCCTCCCAATGCTTATTTGTTGTTCAAATAATAACATGAAGACAATTTTAAAAAAAAGGCAAAGGAAAATGAACCACCATCTTTCCACCCATATCCTCTAATTGGATTTTCCAGTGCCTCTTTTGGGTGGTATTTTTAGTGCTAATCTTTAGGACAGGAAATCCCAACATCATCTACCCAGATCAGGAAGTTGTGAGGGTGCAGCGACCTTCCCTGTCTCCTTCCCTTTGTACCCTGCCACCTCTCACACTCCCCCACCCATCCACCCACCCACGCACCCAAACACACACATCCTCTGCTAGGATTGCTGTCAGGTCAGTGCCCAGCAGGATTGGGTCTGCCCCACCTCCATCCCAGCATTCTCTAGGGCTGAGTGCACATCTGCTCAGGTCATTTCTGCCTGAGAGGTGCTCAATAGTGGTATTGAGGGGACCTTCCACTGATTTAAGCAGAAGGACCCCAATCCTGGGGGGAGAGTGTGCAGAATTAACAGCCAGAGCCAGATCTCACAACAAAATCCAGCCTCAGTTTGAGTGACTATGGGGCAGACTGGACCTAGAAATAGCAAGGTTACTGGTCTCAGCCCGTCATTGTGCACAAATGTTTTGACTTTTTAAATTTTATACTTAAGACAGAACGCCTTCTAGCAGCTAGGAGACCCACACTTAGAGAAGCAGAGCTTGTGATTTGGGGGGAAGTTCTACTTCCCAAATGGCTCCTCCTGTTCCCTTCCTTGGATTTTGCTTGTTGGTGATGGCTAAGATTCTCCCATTTGAGATTAATTCCTTTGGCTATATCCCTTGTTTAAAATGCAAAAGTCCCTAGGAACAGCCCACAGGAAGAATTCATCAGGGTACATCAGAAGGGAAGGTTTTCAGAGGAAGAGAGGCCTGGTGAAATAGTGTGTGTAGTTGGCAGGGGAGAGTAGGCTGTTCAGGACAAATTCCCCCTCCCCCAGCTTACTCCCTCCCCTAAACCCCCTGTTCAGAGCTCTGTCCTGAAGTTGCATGTCCTCAGTGGCTTGGATCTGTATTACAGGCTGTAAGGGTTCCTCCTCTCCTATAGAAGGCTGGTACAGAGAGACACTAGCTAGGGGCGGTCCCACCCAGGCTAAACTGCTGGGTTTGCTCTCCTTCAGGTGGTCTGGGCCAAGACAGAGCGCATTGGCTGTGGCTCCCACTTCTGTGAGAAGCTCCAGGACCTTGAGGAGACGAATATCCATTTGCTGGTTTGCAACTATGAGCCCCCGTGAGTCCGAGGGAGTCTTATGGGTGGGCAGAGCCAAGGAAAGGGCTGAGTAGAGCACAGTCTAAAGAGGTGGGAGGGGGCCATTCTGGAGCCTATGCCCTATACTCTGGGGCGAGCTGTGAAGTCTTGATGGGAGTTTGCTTTCTTCGGTCCAGCAAGTTAGCCGTGGGCAAGTAAGGGCCAATGCGGCACTTCCGGACTAGGTGTGTGTATGAGGGATAGGGTCAGGGGTTTCCAGAGCCCCAAGCATCTTCCTCGCCTCCTGCAGGGGGAACGTGAAGGGACAGAGGCCCTACCAGGAGGGAACTCCGTGTTCCCAATGTCCCTCCGATTACCACTGTGAGAACTCCCTCTGTGGTAAGTCAAGGATGGGGTGGGAGGGAGAGGAAGGGCAGGGAAGGGACGCCCACTGGATGGTCTGGAGTATCTCCCGGCACCCGAGTGGTGCGTGGGCAGGGAAGGGGCCCGGCTGAACGCCACCTCCAGAGGCCCTCAGCAGTCCCACCCCACCCAGGTTCCCAAGTTCGTTTTGCCCTCTTTGCCCAGCCACTGTGGCGCCCTGTCATTCCAAGTAACCGGATTTCAACCCTCCAAGTGGAGGGTAGAGGAGAGTCCCGCGGCTCTCGAGCACCGGGCAAGGTGGGCGTGGTCTGATAGAAAAAGCCCCTGGGGTGGGCGGAGCCGAGTGGTGGGTGTGGCCAGAAGGATTTAAATGGGCGTTAGGAACAGAAATCCAGCTGGAGAAGTCCCCTGAAAAAGTGGAAGTGAGAGTGCAGAGAGAGGAAGACTTGGACAAGGAAGTAGATGGAGCAGCAACTGAGAAGTAACATTTATTATCAATGAGGGACATGTTCGCTGGAGAGGGTGTGTGTATGTGTGTTTACGTGTCTTCGTAGGATATTTGGTCGCCTCACCTTGATTGCTGTGGGGTGAGGGATATGGGGTCCTGCTTGCAGCATTAATGTCAGGCCTTGTGTCTCTTATCAGAACCCAGCAGAGGCCCAGAAGAGGCTCAGGAGTTGCCTCGCCTGGTAACTGAGGCCCCATCTTCCCTGGCAACTGACGCCTCAGGCTCTAGGAAAGGAGCTATCTCTTCTTCCCTAGCAACGGAAACAACATTCTCCTTGGTAACAGAGGTCTCAGGTTCCGTGGCAACCACGGCTCTACCTGCTGTAGAGACCAGTGTCCCATCTTTCTTAGCAACGGAAGGTCCCTCCTCCATGGCAACAGAGGCTCCACCTTCCTTAACGACTGAGGTCCCCTCCTCTTTGGGAACTCACAGCCTGCTCTCCTTGTATGAGACGCCAGCTACCTCCCCCAAACCGACCCATGATCCCATCCTCAAATGGGCAGACAAAGAGGTTCACAGTACACAGATGTCCTCCAGGAGCCCAAGGAGTTCCCTGCACCCAATGATGTTCCTGACAGTGACACAAGGGCCACTACCTAACTCCCAGGAGGAGGGTAAGGCTGAGTTGTCTTCTTCCAGTGAGGAATTGGCCTCAGTCCAGGATGAGCCAAGTGAACTGCAGGCCACATTCGACCACAAGGGGCACACCTTCTCTAAGTCCCTGTCCGACTTCCTTAATATCTCTGCCACGGCTAAAACCCTGGCCTGGAAGTCATTCTTGCCAGGTAAGACCTGTAGTGTCCATCCTCCCTTCCCTCCTGGCTCCAGATTGTCAGCATGTTGCCCCCAGCACGAGCGGTATGAGCATGGCGGGGCATGCACCTCTGAATAGGAGCTTCCTCCCTGGCTGCTGGACCCCCACTTGCATGCTTGGTGGGGTGGGTAGAGCTGTCCACAGGCTGAAGCATACCCTCTCCCCACAGGTGCAGAGGGCTCTAAGATGTCTAAAATCTCCTCTGGGCTGAACCCGGGCCCTGGTCACGTCTGGGGCCCTCTCCTGGGTCTGCTGCTACTGCTTCCCCTGGTGTTGGCTGGAATCTTCTGAAGGGGTCGCCACTCAAAGGCAAGGCCTGGTGGGGGGACCCTGGCCTCCTACTCACTCTGGATTGTATTTCTCCAAGTAAGAGGCCACAGCTTCCTGGGCAGGTCCTGCTCTGTGGCCCAGCAGCCCCCCTTCATCCCAGCTTCTGTGCAGACTCCAGGCCAGTGCCCTCGTGCCCTTAGGAGGCCTGTACAGGACAACCCCTGGCACTACCCCAGGAGTGCTCTGTCTCTGGAGAGTCCCATCCCTCAGCTAACCAGATGGTTCTGAGCAGCGTTCCTGTGGCCACGGTCCTGCTCTTCTAGGGACAGAAGATCTCAGGGCTTCCCAGGAACCCCTTGGCCCCTCCCAGTCTCCTGGCTTCTTCCTGGAGCCTTCTGAGTCCTGAGCTGTTCCCAAGAGTGCCTCCTGCCTCCCCAGGGTGAAGAGGTCAACTATCCTTCTGCCATCTCCCTCACACTGTCCCCTGCCCCTCAAACAATACACTTCCTGGCTGAAGGCCTCTGGAAGGGAAAGGCTTCAGGGCATCCCTCAGCCATGTTGGCCAGCTCAGGTTGCCACGGGACGCCTGCACATAAGGCCCAGACCCCTCCTGCTCCTCCTTTCCCAGTCCATGGGGGTGGGTGGAGATTCTGGGGAGATCCCCACCTGCCTGGCCTGTGGCTGTCTGCCTATGCAAGATAGGGGGTTCTCCCTGAGTGCCTCCCTCCCCATACTTGCTGTGCAGCTTTGAGGGCGGTTGTGAAGAGCATATGGAAAAGCTCCACCTGGGTGGGTTCTATCGGTGGGGCAGGCAGGGGACCAGGGAAGGGAAGCAGCCTGTGACTCCTGAATTAAAAAGTACCCAGAGACTCCATGCTCATGAGGGGTGGGTGACACAGGGGACTCTGGGAGGCCCTGAAGAGGCTTTGACACTCCCCCTACCAACCTGTGGCAACTGTCTGTTCTCCTTTATACTCCCTCCCCCAAATGCACCATGTAGTTCTTTGGGACACCCTTCCTTTCCTTCCTATGAACCTCCTCTGACCCAGCCAAATCTTTAGGTAGCTGGCAGGAAGCGGAAAGAGCCAAGGAAGGCCAAGGGCACTGGGCTGACTGTCCCAGATCCTGGAGTCACCAGTGGGGCTGAGTTGGGTTCAGGGCCCAGGATCAAGGAGTGGCATGCAACCTCTTCTGGGGGTGCTGCCGCCCAGGCCCGTCTGGCACATGAGGTCACAAGGTGGGACTTTGCCAACCCTTGGTGCTTGGAGGAGTCCCCAGAAAGGTTCTGGAGTCCCAGACACTCCCCCAGGAGAGCACAGCAGGACTGTCCAGAAGTGCTGTGGGCCAGGAAAGCACAAGTGCATGTGTGTAGGTGACCGAGGGCAGCTTGGGACCAAGCTGGGGCTGGCGGAGAGAGGCAGAGAGACTTGCCAGGCCCAAGGCAGAGTGTGTGAGCATTTAAACAGGAAAGACCCAAATGAGGCCAGGGCTGTGTGCCTTCCATTTACATACATGCTGTATCGCAATTAAGACGTCACATAACAAAATTCACTCACTCATTTAAAGTGTACCACTCAGTGGATTTTAGTGGATTGACAGGGTGGTACAGCCATCACCATGGTCAATTTGGGAACATTTTCATCACACTCAAAAGAAATCCCATACCTACTAGCAGTCACTTCCCATTTTCCCTCCAACCCCACCCCAGCCCTAAGCAACCACATCTGTTGTTTCTCTGGATCTGCCTATTCTGGACATTTTGTATAAATGGAATCATACAATGTGTGGCCTTCTGTGTCTGGCTTCTTTCATTTAGCATAATTTCAAGGTTCATCCATATTGTAGCATGGAGCAGTACTTCTTTTTTATTGCCAACTAAATATTTCACTGTATGGTATTTTATTCATCCATTCATCAGGTGGTGGATATTTTCACGGTTTCCACTTTTTGGCTATTGTAATAGTGCTGCTATAACATTCATGACCAAGGCTTTGTGTGGACATGTTTTCATTTCTTTTGGTATATACCTAAGAGTAGTGTCACACGGTAACTCTGGATCCCTGTGTAAGTTTAAGGTGTACAGCATGATGGTTTAATTTACATATATTGTGAAATGATTATCACAGGTTTAGCTAACATCCTTTTCATATAGATAATAGGAAAGAAAAAAATGTGATGAGAATTCTTAGGGTTTACTCTATCAAGTTTTCCTATAAATATTACCTACACACCAGTGTTAGCTGTAGTTATGTTGTACATTCCATTCTTAGACGTATTTGTCTTATAACTGGAAGTATGTACCATCTAACCCCCCCCCCCACTCGGGTAACCACAAGTCTGATCTCTTTTTCTATGAGTTTGGGGTTTTTTTTAGATTCCACATACAAGATCATGGAGTGTCATTTTCTGACTTATTTCATTTAGCATAATGCCTTCACAGTCCATCCATGTTGTCACAAATAGGATTTCCTCATCTTTTATGGCTGAAGATTCCATTACACACACACACACACTCACACATATATACCCACATCTTTATCCATTCATCCATGGATGCACACTTAGATTGTTTCCATGTCTTGGCTGTTGTAAATAATGCTGCTATGAACATGGGAGTGCACAGAGCTTTTCAAGTTAAGTGTTTTTGTTTCCTTTGGATATATTCCCAGAAGTGGAATTGCTGGTAGTTCTAATTTTTAATTTTAGGGGGATATGTTTAACATCTTGAGGAACTTGAGGCTATTTTCCAAAGTAGCTGCACAATTTTACATTTGCATCAGCAATGTGTTAGGGTTTTAATTTCTCCACATCTGTCTTTTTGATTACAGCCATTCTAGTGAGTGTGAAATAGCATCTCATTGTGGTTTTGATTTTCGTTTCCCTGATGACTAATGACATCAAACATCTTTTCACGTGCTTATTGGCCACTTATATATCTTCTTCGGAGGAATGTCTATTGAAGTCTTCTGTCCATTTAAAAAAATTGCGGTATTTGTCTTTTTATATTTCGATTGTATGTTCTAGATACAAGTTCCTTATCAGATATATAATTTGCAAACATTTTCTTTCATACTGTGGGTTGTCTTTCAATTTTTCCTGATGATATCCTTTGAACAGTTTTCATTTTAATGATGTCCAATTTATCTAGTTTTTTCATTTTGTTGCTTGTGCTTCTTGATGTTATAGCTAAGAAACTAAGGCCTAATCCAAGGTCACAAAGATTTATGCCTGTCTTCTGCTACGTTTTATAGTTTTCAGTCACATTTACATCTTTAGCTAATATTTATATGTGGTGTAAAATGGGAATGTTTCTTCATCCTCATGCATGTGCATATCCAGTCGTCCTAGTACCTTTTGTTGAAGATTCATCTCCCTCCATCTAATTATTACCCTTGTCGAAACTCAGTTGATCATAAAAGTGAATGTTTTTCTGGACTCTCAATCCTATTCCATTGGTCTCCCTGTGTATCTTTATGTCAGTACCAGACCATTTGATTACCGTAGCTTTGTAGGTAAGTTTTGAAATCAGGAAGTGGGAGTCCTCCAACTTTGTTCTTTCTCATTGTTTAGGTTATTCTGGGTCCCTTGAATTTCCATATTAATTTTAGGATCAGCTTGTCAGATTTCTGCAGTCAGCTGAGATTTTAATAGGGAATACGTAATCTGCCATCCAATCCATGAACATGGGATGTTTTTCCATTCATTTAGGTCTTCTTTCAACAATATTTTGTGGTTTTCAAGTTTTTCAATACTTTTGTTAAATTTGTTCATAAATATTTTAGTTTTGATTGTGCATGAAATTCTTATTTTCACTTTGTTCAACTGCAGATCTATAGAAATACAATTGATTTTTGTATATTGATTTTGTATCCTGCAAACTTGAATTCATTTATTAGTAATAGAAGTATTTTAAATGGATTCCTTAGGATTTTCTATGTACAAGATCATGTCATCTACAGAGGTAGTTTTCCTTCTTCCTTTCTGATCCATGTAGCTTTTTTTCTCTTGCCTAATTGCCCTGGCTAGCCCCTCCAGTACAATGTGGAGTAGCTGCAAGAGCAGACATCCTTTTCTTGTTCCTAATCTTAGAGGAAAAACATTAGGTCTTTCATTCTTCATCGTTATTTGTGGGTTTCTCATATTTATCAGTTATGCCATTGATCAAGTTGAGGAAGTTCTCCTCTATTCTTAGGTTTTTGAATGTTTTTATTGTGAAGGGGTGTTGAATTCTGCCCAATACTTTTTCTGTGTCTATTGAGATGAGCATATGGCTTTTGTTCCTTATTTTAGGGATAAGTGTGTATTACACTCCTTCTAAGATGTTGATCCAACTTGTGTTCCTGGGGTGGGGTGGGGGTGGCTGACATCTCGGCCTGGTCTAATTCAGAAAATCACCCGACACCCCCCCTCACCCCCGGGGCTGAGCTACACCAGGCCCTGGCACCCCTTATCCACAGGCTGGGCTGCCCCCAGCCCTAGTGAGCTATAGTCCCTTCTCATACAAACACGAAGGACTGAGAAAGCCTCGGCAGTAGTTTCTTAAGCTCAGAAAAATAAGAGACGCCCCACAAAACTCCAAATCACCATCAGTACATTTATTTGAGGGAGAAAGGGTCAAATCTTATCAGGAATTTTAAACTGGGGAGGACTAGAGACACTGATCTGCCTAAGTTCTGGGTGTTCACAGCTGCACAGGGAACCGGGTCCTGCACACTGACATGCCACCATTAAACCGATGAGCACTCGATGAGGAGGACACATTCTGAGCAGTCACATGATTTCCCATTCACAAGGGGCTGCCTTCGTATCAGAAAAGTAGTGTTGAGAAAAACAAAGGCAGAACCTAGCAACAGCTTCCCAGCACAGACGTGGACATGACGGTGGCCTCGTGAAAGGGAATCACACCCTATGTACAAGCAGAAGAGCAAGGCTCCCAGCTGAGCTGCAGGATGAGAGCTGGGCTGACCTGGGTGTGCGTGGGGGTGGGATCTGACACCACGAGCCTTTTCCCATCCAACCTGGGCCTCCACAAGCCATTCTGTGGCTCCCTGCACAAGGCAGACTCAGCAAATATGCGAAGTGAGGGGACTGCGCCCCAGGCCCGCCCCACCTTGCCCAGGTCTAACAGGTGAGCCCCACACCCCCACCCAACACCCGCTCTGGACAGACATGTGGCAAACATGGACACCGGAGCCCATTTGTGCTGGGGCACATCTAGGTGTTGCTGGGCTGGAGCTGTCTTACAAGTGCCCGAGATGACCAGGCCTCACCCACAGTGGTCAGGCTGAGACAGCGTGTTTTCAGGTGGTCCTGGTTACTCGAGGGCAAAGCATGACCCTGATGACACGCGGCGGAAAAGCAGGCTGGAGCCGCGGAAGAGCTGGCCCTGGGTTGGAAGAAACAGTCAGGTCAGCGAAAGGGGAGACCATGCTTCCCATCCCGCCCCAGAGCAAGGCCAGCGTCAGCAGTGCAGAGAACGCAAGGTCGGGATGGCGGCCCGGGGCTGGCACTTCTGAAGGGCAAGGGCAGAACCTGCCCTGTGCTGAAGTGGTTCACTTCATGCCACCGGGCGTGCAGGGCTGGGGGGCTACTTGGTAGGCAGCCTCCAAAGAGGAGGGCACTGCAGTCCAGGACGCCTCCAGGGACCCCAGAATGTGACACCCACAGAATCACCGGAGCCGCTGGGGAGAGCTGCACCCGTCTTCTTGTCTCCCCGCTTCCCTCCTATGTGTCCTATTAGGACCTAAGGCCAGTCAGAGTGCTGGCTCCTCCTCAGGCCACTGCCCCGTTTTACTTTGAGACTAACTAACCAAGGCCAAGAAAAGGCCAGGGTCTGCCCTGGGCCAGACACCAGGATCCTTGACCTCTGTGCCCAGGAGCTCCAGCCAACAGGAGGGTGCTTGGGCATAGAACACAAAACCTCAAGGCTGGCCCCGTCACCAGGCTCACTAGGTGGCCCAACTCAATCCTCAGGCTCTCCTGGGGACCGGGACGTCCCGCGGGAGGAGGGGTCGGCCTCCAGCATGCCAGCTGCCTGGCTGACACCGGTCTCAACCCCACGGCTACATTTCTAGCCATGTTACTCGAGGTGTAAGTTCTTGGGCTTCGCCACCTCCCGATGGCTCCCTTACCCTTCTTCTAAGAGTCTTTCAGAGTTGAAGAAAAAGAGACCTGTCTCATGTCAATTTTGAAGTAAACTCAGATCTAATTTATCTCAAATCCTTTCTAAAATAAAATGTCATTTAAATCCCTTAAATCAAGACATTCTCTTTATCCTCCCTACTCACAGCACTGTCTCCTATGACAACTCCTTATCTCCCCATGCAATGAAGAATCCACAAAACCATTTCATCTGCTCGATGTGGCGGGGGTAGGCAAACCCTCCTCCCTCGGGAGCTAGCTTACCTGCACACTCAGGTACTTCCAGCAGTGGATCCAGGATTTGAACACTGGGGAGTAAGGCGGGAGCCCAGCCTGCAGCCTGCCCGGGAAGGACAGCATGTTAGATCCAGAGAACATGGGAGATGATCAGCCAAGGAAAAGGATACCTCAAGAAATGGCCACCACCCACATCCTGAACCAGTCATCCCAAAAGGGTGTGGTGCATCCCCGAGGAAGCCAGGGTGCCCGGCAGGCTGAACCTACATGCAGACAAGGCAGGAGGGGGCAGAGCGCTGGATGGGCTCAGCTGGGTTCCCCCGTGGCCTAGGCAGAGTGCCCGGTGGAGGGGCACACACCTACCCGCAGTTGTTCACAGCCATGAGATCACCGACCAGCAGGAAGGGGTAGGTCAGCATGCTCACCGCAATCTGAAAGCCATGGAGACCCGAGTGTCAGTGACCCCATCACCAGCTCCAGCCTGGGCTCGGGGAGCATGGATACGCTGTGTCAATACCCTATACCTGAGGCCTGCCTCCGGCCACTACCAGAGCCGGCCTCCGAAGCCCCACCCGGGCCCACTGGGCAGCGGGAATGGCAGCTGGCTTGACTTACCCCCATCACAAATTTGGTGTAGCTTCGGATGGCCAGGGCCTGGCTGAACTGCAGGGACAGAAAGGAAGACGAGTTTGCCACAGGCACCCCAGGATGCAGGTATCAGAGATGCAGGCCTTTGCCCTGTGCTGCCTGGTCTGTGGCCCCCTTCACCTGCCCTCTGCACACACCATGTTCCCTCAGGGCCTGCCAGCAGCTTCCGTGGTCTTGTAGTCAGAGCCAAGAGAAGATTTGGGAGGCGCAAGTAGGATAACCGCGCTAAAGGGATTTCAGTGACCCAGCCAGGGATGGTGAGAAGTGCAGACCAGGTAAACAGATCACTGCCTGCTGGCTGTGTAACCTCACAGAGCTGTGAGCCCCAAGGGCTTGCTTGGCCTGTGTCTGCCTTACCCAATGTCCAGGGCTCGGCTCAGTCAGTGCTCAGTAAATGCTTACTGAAGGATACTGAAGGAAAAGACAGACACCCACCAGAACTACCCAGGCACAGAGTCCTAGTCCTGTAGCAAGAAGGGAGGGGAAATTCTGGGCTTATTGCCACCCCCTACCTATCCAAGCTCTCACCCTCCTTCAGACTCCAACTTCCGAAGTCTGCTTTGCCCAGGAAACAGCCCCTGACCGGGAAGGGGGATTACCTATCCCTTAGCTTCCTACGGCGTGGCCATCCCCCCAGATGGATGCCCTGCAACCTTGGGTGGAGGTCTGCTCAGTCCTCTGAGGGGCAGCTTTTAAGCCACACACAGAAAAGCAGTTGGAAAATACTTTCAATGAAGCTGCTGACTGCTGCTGTTGGTGACAAAGTGCAGCAGCCCCTGGTCAAACACCCGCCCACCTAGACTGGAGGAAACCCATTGGTTGTGGGACACCCCCACCCCAAGATACCCCAGCTGTCTCAGCCTTCCGGCAGCAGTTCTCCCACCCATGAGGCCCCTGAGAAAGGGCAGGGCCACGCCTACTGTAGCTGCACCTGGGAGCTGTCTCTACAGAGCCACTTGAATTTATTTACACTGAAAGGCCAATGAGACTCACCTACCCAAGTCAAATGGCCCCACGGCTTCCCTCTGAGCAGGGGCTCTCACCTGGGGAGGGGCCCTCCTCACCACAGACCCATGCCCAGACACATACACGTTCAGACAGACACAGGCAGACTATGACCCCCATCCCAGGTGATTCTGGCAGACAGGTCCCCAGCCCCTCACCTATCCTGGGGCGGGCAATCCCAGCTGTGAGAATGCCTGGCTACTAGGAATTCCTTGCTCATCACTGCTCTCCAACTCTCATCTCGGTTCAGACAGAACCAGTTAGCCTATCAGGTCCTCAGACATCTTGCTTCAGTAAGCGCCTTTTAGAAGGACCCATGCCTGACCCAGTCTGCTGGGGTCTGTGTACACCAGGCTGTGTAGGCCGCTGCTAACAAAATTGAGGGGTGCTCCTGGAGAGTACACGTCCTCCCCGATTTGAGAAGCCTCAAGGGGGAAAGCAGCCCCAGCCTGGCACAGGAAAAGACCCAGTCCCAGCCCTGTCAATTCCCAGCCGAGTGCCGCTAGAGAGCCCTTCAATCTCTGGGTCTCGAGATCGCTATCTGTAAAACAGACTGATACATATATCTGCCCTGTTCCCTTTACTGGGATGCCGTCAGGATCAAATGTCATAATGTTCACAAAAGGGCTTTGAAAAACAGAAAACACTCAGCAAAAGGGGTTCCTGTTAGCTGGTCAGTCTATCTTCTGATTTCCTGACCCCTAATTGGGTCACTAACTTAAACCAGCCTTGGATAAGCAGGGGACTGTCTCATTTCTAAAGCTGCCCAGAGCCAGGCATTCTATAAACTCCTCCAGGCTATCCATCTTGAATCTCATTTCTGGAGGCCATTCTTGCCGGAGGCAAAGCTGACCTGGGGACAATCAGAGGCCCTCTCTAGCCCTCAGGGCCTGGTGCTCAGAATCCCAGAGTCCTCCAGTCTGCCCCAGACCCTGGGCATCAGCAGTACATGGAAAGATGGACAAGTCCTTGTTCGAACCAACCTGGGAACCTGGATTCTGGTCGTTTCCCAGCCCCCCTGGGGTGTCACTCACGCTGTCATCCACCAGGTAGGCATTGATGAAATGGGCCAGCAGGTTACAGCCCCACAAGAAAACCACATCTCCCAGGAGGTGAGGGATTAAGCCGCTAAAAAACAAGGGTGAGCAAAGATGAGCAGAGGAGGGAGGGGAGCATTTCCTGGGGGCTCCACACCCAGGAGGCAGGCAGGGATGTTCCAAGCTCAAACCTTCAGCATATCCACCACCACCGCAGAAGGAAGCCTGCAGGGCCCGTGGGTCCACAGCAGAAAAGCAGCGTCCCTTTCTCCAGGGGGTGGATGTTAGATACCACATCTGACGCCACAATTTAGTTTATGGTTTCACAAGTGGTTTTCAAACCCCAAAAGCCAGGCCTTGAGATGTAAACGTGGCTAAATCTGGCATTTTCAATGCAATTATGAAAGAGTGTCTACATGTTGGTAGTTTTCTCCTGGCCTCTACCTAATCAACTCTCAGAAAACACTTTGCTCAATGCATCTGTTGTCTTCGCCCCTGGAATGTTACAATGAAGACATTCCATGCAAGCTTTTACATGGAGGGCTGACAAACAGCTTTACAAACAGATATGGAAGCTTCCCCTAAGATGCAGTGCGGAGGACAAAACACCAGACAGATCAGTGAGTCCTTTGTGCTACTTGTATTTTTTTAAATGAGCTTATTTACTCGTTGAGCTATGGAGTGACTGGAAAAGATCTCCAGCAGAATGACTATCTCTTGGAGAGGGGAAGCAGAATTATGATTTTTGCATTTTTAAATATCTTTTTTCAAAACATTTGAAAAGTTCAAAAGAATATATGCAACCCATCTATGTAATGAGGGACATTAGTAAAATGAACCTTTGTGAATGCAATTTCTAATCCTATTGCTTCCACCTGTGCTCAGGTTGACTCCGCATATAGCCTAGATACCAGTGTGACAACCAAAATATGTCGCCAGATGCTACCAATGTCCCTGGGGGCAAAATCATGTCCTGGTGAGAAACACACACTCACACACCTACATGTAGTCATTACTTGGTTAAAATGAGGGACCATAAATGAAAACACCTAGCCAACAATGAAACCACAATGAGTTCATAGATGCCATATTTAGTAAAAAGGCAAAACAGATGACACTTGTCAGGCCTGACTTTTGGGTTCCATTTGTTTAGTCTGTCTGGACAGTCTTTTTGGTATGAGTTTTCTTTACAGGCGAAGCAAGGTGGATATGAGACGCCGAGGAGGGCAGAGGGTCTGTGGCCCTTGGGAGGCTGACGGCCACCAGCAGAGCCAGGTTTTCTGACTTTTCACAAGAAGCCAGAAATACAGATTGCCATGTGAAATGCCTACATGTTAAAAGTGAAGAACTCACGTGTCAGAAAAGCTATGTCTAACGGAGCCCATCAGCTGGGGGCAGCCGGCGAGCTGCCAATGCTTGACCCTCAGCCACGTCCCAAGTTTCAGTCGTTTAGCAGCGAAGCCAAGGACGAGCGAGTGCCCTGGCTCCTGGCCAGCCCCGTGCCCACCCCCAGCCCTGGAGCAAATGAACGGGGCCTAGGGGGTGGGGGTCAGCCCAGTCAGCACTGGACGAACAGTACCATGTCTGTGGGAGCCGTGATCTGGAAAGGGCTGGGTGGCTTTGTCCCGATGATCCGACATGCTGTGGAAGTCAGCTACTCAGGCGGGGCAGAGCCTGTAGTTAGTCTGAGGCCAGCAGCTGCGGCCTGAGAGGTTGAGAGTGAGCCTGTTAGTAGAGCCATGCCCCGTGGCCGGTTATGGGGGGTATAAACTCACGTACACAAAGAATCCCAGCAGCCCTTCCTCTTTGAAAATCTTCCCAATGGAGCTCAGCACACCACTGTGAGAAAAGCACAACAGGGATAGAGGTCACCCAGTGACCTGGAGGAGCCCACCCCTGCTCAGAGCCATCCAGTCCTGGCCAGGGTGGGCAAGGGAGACTGTTACCAGGCGGAACCCAAGTGGAAAAGACCATGTTCCCCTGAAAATAAGACCTAGCCAGAGAACAAGCCGTAGCATGATTCCTCCAGGATATGGAGGGCACGCACCCCTCACATGAGGGTTTTATGACCTGTTTTAGGGAGAAGGGTACCTTTTCCACAAACTCCTTCAGCTTAAAATATTCATTATGCCAAGGTTCTGTATTTCGGCACCTAAAATCATGCTATGGCTTATTTTCCGGTTTCGTCTTATTTTCGGGGAAACGGGGTTAGAGAGCTCTTGTTTGGGGGTAAGGGGGTAGTTCGTGGAGACTGGGGAACCCCAACCACCACTGGGGCAGAACCCTAGCAGTTCACTATGGCTATTTTCTGTGGGTCTGGAATTTAGGAACGAACCGTCCAGCCTGGGCTGCTGCAAAGGTGACGGGCCCTTCTCCTGCCTGGCCCTAGTGCTTATCTCTGGCTGAACAATCTTCAGACGGATTGAGAACAGGGATGGTGAGTGGAGAAAACCACCTCCCCAGAGGGCAGAGGAGGAACACAGAGCACTGTAGCAGGAGGTCCTGGAATCAGACCACCCAGATGCAGCCTGGGAAAAGGCACCTGACCCTCCCCAGCAGGGAGCTTGGGGACGAGCCTGGTCACTGCAGCCTGGAAGGGACCAGAGGATGAGCTGTGGCATCTCAGATGTGAAATGCAAGGGAGGTTCAAGAGCAGCCTCTGTGACCTGTGGCTAGCAATGCCAAATGGTCTGTCCTGCATGAGGCGCTGCAAAGCCTAGGGGGCAGGGGTGGCCTAAGAGAGAAAAAGGTGGTGGGAGACAAGGCTCTGGCTTGTGCTGGTCCTGGGGCACCCAGCCCTGCCAGGCCTCTACCTTTCTTCTCAGAACAGTGGCTCAGCCATTCCAGGTCCCACCTACCAACCTCGCATTTCATTCTGGGGGAATTTCCCATTAGGGAGCCCAAAATGAGGTACAATGGCAGCCAAGCTTCCTGGGGCAATGGCCGCATAGGACAGCTGCAGAAAACAACCAAACCCAGGAAATTAGAGAAAGAAAAGAGAACAGAGGCGTGTCCTCCTGTCACATGGTTCCAGGACCTGCTTTCTGGACTGAGAGCCTCAGAGGAGCAGAGAGAGCATAAGTGCCACAGGGAAGGGCTATGTCAACACACCTGTGCCCCATAGCCCTAAGCTCAATGCGGGACACACAGATGCTAGGTAAGTATTTGGTGAACAACTGAAGGTCCAAGCCCACGAGGTACAGAGAGGAGGAAATGAGCTGTAAGTTGGGTTCTAGGAAAGCTGGAGAAATCGCTAAGGCATGACTTTGGGGGTTTAAGAGGGAACCTGGCTCAGTCCTAAGTGGCAGAATCAGCTCCGGTGCCAGAACTCCTAATCCAAGCCGAGTCCAATCCCACTCACCCCCTCTGCAGGGCATCCAAGCTCATCTGGGGCAGCCCAGACAAAATATGCACAAGAGAAAATGCCCCTGGACACTGACTACAGGAGCCACTACCACGTTCCTCTGAAGCCAGCACGTGAGAATTAGGGCAGAAAAGCAGCAGCGACTGACCCAGCATGACCCACCCTAGCAGACTCTGAATGGTGACGGGGCCACTCCTGCCAGTCCCAAGAATTACCCACCTGTACTTGGCCTCCCGTCCCACAAACTGGACCATGCAGCGCATTGAGATGACTGAGGGAAAAGAAAACACACACAGGTGACATGATGCAAACGCACACAAAGCCCGACAGCCCAGCTGTGGGGTGCCCGCTGCAGTGGCCACTGTACAACATGGCCTGTAACAGCGTGCAGGAGGGGAGGGGGGGCCTTCCTGTCGCACCCCATGACCACAGCATCCCGCTTCTTCTGCCTGGGAAGAGGCCCAGCTCCCTTTGGACAGGACTCCCAGCCAACCTCTCCTCAGTGGGTTCCAACGGGATACCCCCACCCCACTGCCACTTCCCAGTAATTCTGCCGCCGCCCAGCTACAGTCCATGAGGGGTCAGCCCATGGCCGAGCTGCAATCTCCAGGGGGCAGCTCACCATGCAGGGGGTGGGCCAGCATGCGGGACACGCACTGCATCATCATCTCATAGGAGGTCTGCAAGAGAGCAGAGGGGGACTCAGTCCGGCCTGCTGCTGCAGGTGGCACTGCTGGGGAGCTAAGAGCTCTGATGAGGGGAAACCAGGGAACCCGCAGCCCCCACACGGGGTCAGTCTACCTCGGAGGGCCCCACTTGTCACCCACCCCCAATTCCCTCCATCTAGGAGGGCTGCCGGGTCCAGGCCAGGCCCCACGGTGGCTCAAGGCTTTCTGGGATCCCTGCTCTATCTGCGATGGGGCTCCTTCCACGCCCCCCCCACCCCCATGCAAGCATAAGGACCCAACTCTGAGGGCCTCTCCCTCTGCAATTCCAATACCTACCTCTTTCACCACTTTCCGCAGAGACGTCTTCATGTCATCCTTGTTGGAAACCTGCTCGATCTCATCTGGAGGGAAAACCTGAAATACAAAGTACAGCGATGCCTCTTAAACGCAACCCACGGGACAGGGACAGCAGGAGCGAGTTCCTACTATTCTCTCTGCAGTGTCCTTAGCTGGGCCCGCCCCAGGTAACCCCCAGGGCTGGAGCTCAGGAAAAAAGGCCCTGCCTGGTATCACAGCTGTGGGAAAGTGGGGGGATGGCGGGGCAGGAGCCCTCCCAATAGAGGAGACTCATCATGGACCACCAGGGTTTAGAGCTTGGCTATGGTGCTGGGGTGGAGGCCCAACCAGTTTGGGAACGGAGAAGCTGGAACATGTACATGGCTGCCTCTGGGGTGACAGGGAGCTCAGGGGAACCTCAGGCAATCGCTCCTGGCTTCGCCCCAGGCTTACCTTTTTCATGCTGCCCCGGGTCACGGTGGAGAGCGCATTGGACATGAGTCGGGGGCTCAGGCCTCGGAACAGCCCTATCTTCCCATCCACTTGCACAATGTACTTGGCTGTAAGAAAGCAGAGGTGGCAGTGTCACACCCAGCCCAGACACGCCCACTCCTGGTCCCATTCACACCCAGACCAGATGCAGCCTGTCCCTCAGTACATGTTTTCAGTCATGGAGGGGAGCTTCCATCCAGGACTCTAGGAGCAATCAGGTCCCACCCCCACATAGCTTCTCTAGCCACTGCTCCTTTGGGTTAAAACCCTCAAAACATATTTTTCACAAACAAGTTCACACATTTTCTTTTTTCAGCTTTGAAACATCTACTTGGCAAACTATATAAGAGCTATAGTTTTTCAACTCAGCAACTTAAATGCTGCAACCCAGAATCCAACTCTGTTGCTTATAAAAAACCATTTCTCTCAGGGGAAAGAAAAAAGGCAGAGCGTGCCCACAGGCAATGATGAAGCGCAACTAAGGGAGGAAAAAGGGGAGAGAAAGGGCTCCCGGAAAAAAAGGCTCAAGAGTGTCCCCTGAGCATGCCACAGAGAGGGCGCCCCACTCTGTCACTTTGCTTGGCCCAGGACCCCATCTGGGACCCGATGGCATTTATTAGTCAGGGTGAGTGTGCACGTGTGTGTGTGTGGAAGGGGGCGGGGGGGTACAAGTGGAGAAGTAACTAAAACAGAAGCACCGATCAACTATTCTACAGAAAAACTTAGGCAGTCAAGGAAGCTAGGCCCTACCTGTGAGTATTTTTTCATTAGGGTCTCTAAAAGGATCGCTTTTTTAGTGTCTCGTTTTATTTAATATCAAATTTTAAACTATTCAAAAAGGTGATGTATTTTCATAAAGCTGTGTACTTGGAAGCTAGCAGAGCATTCTCTCAGACAATGTGCTCCCCGTTCAGGCCCACGACCCTAGCTCTCTAGCGCCGCACAGTGGCAGGAACCAGCACACTAGGCCTTTCTCTCTGCAACATGTCTGCCAGCCTGGCAATTCAATGTCACTGCTAGCAGGAGCTTGCACTGGGCCTCAGAGCACCTGTTACCTGTATTCTTGGCTTCCTGAGATGGGGTAAGGCTGGGAAGAGAGGAGTAGGAGGGAGAGGATACAGCAAGGCGCCCTGCTTCACAGAGCGAACAGCTGGAAGGAATTCGGGGGGAGGGGGGGCTCCAGTCAGCAGAGAGAGCTGGGCAGGATAAAGCCCGAGTGTGATCTGGGCAAGACACGTAACCTTTTTATCCGATGTGCCCACCAGTAAAAAAGGAGTAAGGACCCCTATTTCTCCCCATCTCAGACGTGAATTATGAACAAGTGAGAGCGGAGAAAGGCATGCAGAACTGCCGACAGAGGCCTTTCTGGGCCCAAAGGGGCTCCCTTATTCCAGGGCTTCTCTGCAGTCCCCGGAAAGCTCTCCAGGAAGTTCCCTCCATTAGAGCAAAGACTATCACGACAGCTGTGGCGCTTTTCACCGTGACATGGGGAGGAGTCCAGACGATCTCTACTAGACACCCAGCCAAGGCCCCCCCCCAGACAGGAGAGCCAGAATGGTGTCTGGAAACACTCAGTGGGCATCTGCTTACGGCATTCATGTAAACAGGGGTGGGGGAGCACCTCGAACTCTGCTCATCTTTGTAAGAGGCAGTAACATGAAAGGCAGGCCCCTCTACCTGAGTCCTTTTGGGGATGACTGTGTGACATGAATAGAGCTGGTCTGGGTTCTAACCTGAGTCCCTCACATGGCTGGAAGCATGTGTAACCAGCCATAAACAGGGAAATCACCAGGCAGGGCCTGGCGGCCCGCCCTCCCGGCTTCCCACAGACCCAGTGTAACTTTGTATACCGGTCTCACTGCACTTTGGTGGAGGTACCTTCCTCATTCTGTGATTTTCCCCTTCTCCACACTGACGATCTTTAAATAAAAACAAATATGAACACACTTCCCCACAAAATGACATGTTCTGCCTGGCCCTAGGCTGTTCTCAACAACACGGTGGCAAAACTAGAGAAGACACATGATCTCAGATTCTGCTAACAGTGTACGAAGTGGGAAAAGGGTGACAGGAGGTGAAGTCCAAAGTTATTCAGCAGAAAGAAAGATTTTCAGAGGACATTCTGAACTAGCCACACAGATAAGAGCAGGGGTGAAGAAAGCACGAGGGAATCGGCCTGGCTGTGAACATGGAGGTCAAGGGCACATTTAAAGAAGTCCCCATCACGGTCATCTTGTGAGGGTGGGGACTGGGAAAGGAACAGTGATGGCGGACTTGGGCAGCTGGCACTTGTGGGCCAGGGGATGAGCAGTAGAGGCAGCTGGGGGGGACTTTGCTGGCATCAGGCAAGCTCCCCTGTGGTGGGCTTCTTGGTGGAGACCTCCCAACAGGCAGAGCTGCTGGGGTGGGGGTGGGGCGCTTGTATGAAGGGCCAGGCATCGAGACACTGATGCTACTGTGCAGACGAGGAATGCAGGGTCAGGACAGCAAGCAGCCTGCCCCAGCTCACATAGCTGGTCAGGGCACACCAGGCGTGAAGCCGTGACTCATCACGCATGCAGCTCTATGCTCACTGGTGGAGATGCCAGAGGGAGTTGGCACCATGCCTGGGGAGCACAGGGGAAAGAGGATGAAGGAAGAAGGAAAAGGACCCAGGAGGCCCCGACAGGCCTCCTGCTAGAGGAGACAGAAAGCAGAAAAGCTGGTGACAGGGCCAGACCGCTGAGAAGGTGAAAGGAACGCCCACCAGCCCCATTCCAGGCACAACCTGGAGCAGCAGGGGTGACAGGAACCAGTGTCCTGGACTGGCCTCTCTCTCAGGCATCTGCCTCCCCTCCTGCTGCCTGGGCTGATGGCGGGCCGCTGTGGGCAGAGGAGCTGCACCACAGTTGTATTGTTCACTTGTTCCCACCCTGACGCCCTGCTGCCTCTGGCCACACTCTTTGATCCCCTCCTCCAGGCCAGCTCTGACTCTGGGTGCCATGCTGCCCAGCGTGTCCCTCGTTGGACGCTTCTGTTTTGCCCGCGTGGGCTTTCCGGCCTTGGAAGCGCACTCACCGTAGGTGAAGAAGCTCGGCAGATAGAGGACCTTCCTGCCCAGCACATTGGTCCCGATGGTGGGGGGCATCGGCTCGTGACCCACCTTCAGAATCAACAAACACAAAAGGAAGATCAGATTCCACTGCTGGTTCAGTCTCAGCGCTCTCTGATTTGTCAGGCCTCTAGCTTCTCCCACAAACTCTAACGCTGTTCCTGTTGATGTTTTCCCCATCAAAACATCCCCAAAATCTCATCAGTGTCTGTAACCATCAGCATCATGGAATCTCCCAAAGAACAGAAAAGTCGAGTCCCACCCCTACCACAATCCAAGTCACCTCCATCCCCCGACATGCTCACCTTCAAATTCCAGGTATCACCAGGGCAACATCCATTTTTATATACTTTGAACCCCATGCTTATCTCGGAATAAATCTCAGTGAATTCTCATCTCCAAGTTAAAAGCTTCCTTCCATCCAGTCTCAGTCCCAAATGTGGCAACACCAAAAATACAGCACACCCAAATCTCAGCCCCAAACTTCACACAGCTCAGCTCCACGTAACCTATGCCAAAGTTTACCCCACAACTCAAATTTCTTACCGTACCGACCAAAGACGCCAACAAATCTGTCCCTCTCACTCCCAGGCAGAGCAAACTCTTACTTTGAATCCCAGCTGGTCCTCAAACAACTAATTCCTCAACTGTGTTCTGATTGCAATCACCCATATCTCTGTGACAGAATGTCCTCTCATTTCTGTGGGGCCATCTCACTCCTGCTGTTGTAGATGCTGGTTATATAAGGTACCTGTTAAACTCATGGGTGGGTGAAGGACCAAGCCACCCATACCCTCCTGGGGAGGTGGGGTCTCTCCGAATGGGTGAGGGCATTTGTTATGCTGCCTCATTAATGAGGAGAGAGACTCTCTGCTGCCAGGCAGGAGGCAAGGTGTTCAGGAGACCAGCGCCTAAGCGTAGTGTGAGAAGGCCCCTTCCTTGGCAGGATGCTGGGACAGCGGCCCTGTCCCTCATAGCAGGCTAGCCGAGCCCAGGGACCACAGCGGCAACTCTTGAATGTGAAAAGGAGCAAAAACAGCAGAGCTGGGAAGCTCTGCCTTAAAAACTGGAGTAGGTATGCTTCTAGTACTTTCCTGGCTCAGTTCCCTTTCTTGTTTGTCTTAGTCAAGTGTTTTGAAAGTTCAGGCTGTCCCTTGTGGATGTGATTCTGAGCTACATGACAGATTACTGACTGTAAATTAAGAACCCACCTCTGGAAAGGGGACCTTCTTTAAAGAAAAATTCTGGCCCAGGGGATGAAAAGGGATGAGCCAGCTGACCCAAGCAGTTGGCCCTCCCTTTCTAGACCGTTCCCCTTCTGGGTTAAAAGTTTGAAGGCTCTAAGTTTTGTTTTGTCTGAGCTACTGCTCTTTTGCTGTCTTACCCAGTCTAGTTACAACAATTTGGGAGTCCCATCAATTCCAATTTCATCCTTACATCTGCTGTGTCCTTTTGTCCCATGGCCCCCTAGCTCTGCAATCTGTTGAGCCTACATTTTAAACTTCTACTGGGCTATCAAAGGCACAATGGTCAGACTTCACCCCTATTCCCCTCACCCTCAAGTTCTCATTATTTGTGCCCAAGTCATACCCACCCAATTTCATCCCCAATTAACCCAGTCCTAACCACAGCCAAAGCTGTGGGTCTACATCAGATACGGGCAGAGTCAGTACATCACCCTCAAATCTTGAAATCCTGAAACCCAGTACCTGTGGGTCCTGATCAGAGGCACTGCATTCTTATTTACCTAATCTAGACAACCTGAAATCTGCCACTCCAATCCTGCTACCCTGGGATTGGCCTTTTTGCAAAATGTTACCCTGATTCCCAAGCTATACCATTAAGATTTCGCCCTAAAATATGTTACACTCAGCACCAGCTGGGTTCAAATCGGATAGGCCACCTGTCACTCCAACTGAGCTCATCCATTCGTACCCCTCCATCCCGTTCTTCTCACCCTTTAGTCTCCCTTCATTCCCCAATTCCCCATTCTCCCTCATTCCCAACTCTCTCTTTCTCCAATTCCCTCTTCAAATCATCCTTATTTCAAATTTCTTCTGGAACCTATAAACCAAATCTACTATGGTCCAAATGATGAAGCCACTTCCCATTTCTTTCACGTGGAGCCCCCCATTCCTGTGCTCCAGCATCCTTCACTCCACAGGCCCACCTATCTGCCACCCTAAAATCCCAGCCCTCACCAATCTCTCTTTATCAGCCGAAAAACTCAGCTCCCAGGATCCTGCCTTCACATGTCAGGCACCACCAGTTCCGAAGCCCCCATTGCTACAATTTCCATTGCTGTAAATACAATCCTAATTCTGTAAGTAAAGCAGCCCTCACTCGCAATCACAAGCAAACGACAGTCTCAACCTTGCCCCCTCAGCCATTTCCAAAATCTCAGTAACAATTAGACTCTAGTCAGGCACCTGATGTCCCTGCCTGAATCTCCTTATTCCTTGTCATATTCCTGGTCGCATCCCAAAATCTACTGCCCCATTTCTCAGACCTGAGATTTCAATTATTCCCACTCAAGTCTCTCTTATTCCAATTGTACCTCCCACTGTCAGTACAATTCTAAAGACAGTAACTCTGACACCCATTCGCCTCAACTCAAAAATCAAACCTCAAATCTTGGTTGGGTCTCCATCTCAATTTTTACCCCCCACTACCCACTCTCCTTAACTGGAAAATTCTAGGCTAAATTTTCAGTCATGAGTCCAGGCTTAAGCCGCCTACATCTCAACAGTACCCATGTCCTTCACCCCGAAGTAATTCTGCCAAATGCACTCCCTCCACCCGCTTCCTTCCCGCTCAGTCTCCCCCTTTCTCAAGCAGCTGCTTCATCTGGGAGACACTGTTGGCCACCACCGAATGTACCAAGTGCACCTGCATGACAGGGTTGCAGAGACATCCGCACCTTGGCCTCAGTTTCTGCCAGCTTCTACCTACCCCATCACCTTATGTCCCAACTACCCCTTTCTGCCCAATTCCAATACGTCCAAACCCCTTCAGCCCATCCCCCCGACACAAGGGCTGCGATCCCCATCTCCGGTCGCAACCGTGCCTTCCATTTTCCAAATACGTCATCTCTTTCCCCCAAAAAGCTTGCTCTCCAGACAAATCGCCACCGTTCCATTCCCCTCCCCCACTGCGTCGCCCTATCTGTTCCCTTCCCCCCAAACGCGTCACCCCGTCCCCTCCTCCACCAAGTCTGTCGTCGCCATCAGATCCTAGGCCCCCATCTCCTGCACACCGATAGCTCTCCCCTGCTAAATCCTCTGCCTTCGCCCTCTTCCACTAAATTCCGTCACCATTAAATCCACTGCCTCCGTCCCCTCCTCCCAGAGTCTGATGCCCTTTCTCCTTTCCTAAATGTTTGGCTCTGGCTTCCAGTTCTTTGTCTCACCAAACCGCTTTAAATCCATCCTTATAAAATCCAGAGCTCTTGCACCCCTCTACCCTAAATGTGCGCTCATCTTCTAAATACTTTGCCTTGGACTCCCACCCACTCGCTCCAACTTCCCGCCCCTCCCCCAACTCTACCGCTTCTTTACTCGCCCCAAAATGATGCCCCTTTCTTCCTATTCCAACCTCATCGCCTCCATTCCATCATCCCCAAACCCGTCTCGCTATACCATCGCCCTCCTCCTTGCACTCCCCAAATCCTTCCACCCTCTCCCAAATCTGTCGCTCCGACCCCTTCGCCCCCTCTTCTGCACCCCAAACCCGTGTCCCCTGCACCCCCAA